TAAACAAAAGTATATAAATTACCAACAGATGCAGGTGATTACGGAAAGTGCCTTTGCATTCGGCTTCCTGGTAGATGAGTTTTTTATAACTGGGAGTTTGACGCTTAGAACAAAAGTTATTACAAACTCAATGATTTTACAAAAGGGATTTACGACGTAGAGGAATTATCAATTATTAGCATAAATTTAATGAACAAGCACCTTCAGGAATGATTTCAAAATTGGGACGACAACTACAGTCTACTAAAAGCCAGAAAAATTCACATAAAAATTCGAAAACTTAGATGCTACTGAGATAATTGTACATACAATTTTACAACTGAATGTAGTTTTTCATTTGGTTTATCTATCAGTAAAATATAACTATGACACTAGAATCTCAAATTCTAAGTCAAAGTTATTCGTTTATTAACAGTGAGAGATTTATCATAGTGATATAAATAAGTAGTCTGCCAAACCACGGTTATCTCATTCACATAGTCAAAATGATGATCAGTATGATGTTCCCCCTCTCTTATTCAAGATTTGAATTGGGTTGAAAAATCTTGACTAGGCAGTCAGTGTGAATATGATCAAGCGGTAGTAATGTGTGATGAGATAACATGGCAGCCGCGTAAAACCCTTGGTGACTGGGGCAAAATGAAAATCTGGTCGGCAGTGAGGTCTTGTAACTCAGCTGGTAGAGCACCAGGCAGAAAATTCAGTTGTCGACGGTTCGAACCCTGCCGTGACCCAAATTTTCATTTCACCCTCAATCATCACCCAGTACAAATAATTAAAATTCACTTTCAAAGAATGATCTGCTATACAAATCTAAAAAGACTAATATATTTCCAATCTATCATTTATGTACTAAATGAATTATTCCGAGAAACGCCTAAAACTTGTCTAATGCAAGGGGCACTGGTCACGATCGAATTTTATATTAGATTCATTCATTTCATGCAGCAATTTACTAACGAGTTACGAAATGAATAGTGAAAATTATGTATGTTGCAGAAAGCAAAGTGGAGAGCAGATGATAATCTATGTATTACTACCATGTACAGGAAAGTAAAAATTTAACAGGTATATAGACTTCAGATGGTCATAATAGAAGTCGACTTCAGCACAAAAGTAGGCAAGCTGAGCTAGTCGGAAAGACACCTTGGAAGTATCTATAGAATCCCATCCTAACGAACTGATAACAATGAACGTTTGTTACAATTTTGTTCTGATAACCACTTGCATCTAACTAACACTAACTTCAAGTATATGGAGAGAGACTATCTCACATGGAGTCCACTAACATCAAACGAATGATGGTCGCAGATGGATCATTCTGCGTTAATCCATCTTTGAAGGGTGGCCGCTCTTCCTTGAGTGCCTACTTAGACTCCGATCACGCATTAGTGATGGCTTCGGTATATCCTCACCGTACTGGTCAAAGGAAAAAGGTACCAGTGAGGCTTGCATATGCTTGATCGAAAGATGAAAACACAGCGTATATTTATTAATGAGGGGATAGTTAAGTATTAATCTTAACATGATGTAATATTCAGTTTACTAGAGAAACAGTAGTAAAGAATGTTAGTAAATAACCCGCACTCAGTTGTTAGCAAAAGCTAGTGGATTTTCATAGCTTCATCGAAATTGATTGATGCAAGACGACTCTTTCCAGTTGTCTGTGATCGCGATGAGGAGCGGAAGCAGCTCAAACGTGAATTGACCAAGAGTCCTTACCATAATCGTAAGCTGCAGAGAGTGGGTAGTGGAAGTGCAAGAGATAGGGTAGGTATTATTAGCAGTGGAGTAGTTATCGTTGAACAGTTGTTTCAGGCTATTGAGGTTGATGGGAAGAGGAAGATGATGGGTAGAAAGACCATCACGGAAAATGAAGAGAACTTGATAATATATGAAGACGGGAGGCAAGAGCGTTGATGGAAGGACAGTTCTACTCAGCTACAGCCATTTCGGTGGCCCATTATCTCGTCCGGACCTGGGCAGTGGCATGCAGATGTCGGTCCACATGGTTTCCTCGAACTTAGGAAGACCATTTCATCAAATTTGAAACGATGCAAAGCAGTAGGACCTGACGGCTTGCCACCAGGTCTTAAAGGAAAGAAAGTAAGAAAATAATCAGTAGAATGACATAGAAACCACACAGTGTATGGAATTCAGAGAAAGTTACATCTAAATTGCTGATAAATACAGTTTATAAGAAAAGAGAGTTTTCTTGTGACAACCATAGCACATTCAGTTTGACTAAGACTGTGTTCAAGGTATTAGAGTCCACAATTATCTGACGGTAAAATGAAGCTTAGGGCAGACAAAGGTTGGACAAACAGGTAAATTTCAGACGTGGACGAAGATCTATCGACCATATTTCAACCCTTTGATGCGATTGGAAACAAAGGCATACCTACCCGTAGGCGACAACTGACATATTTCTTGCCCTTGTAGTCGGCATTCGATTCAATCGACTGACAGGTTTTATGGAGTACCAAGTGAGTGTGTAACCTTTAACAAAGCTCTCTACGCAAACTCTCCTAGGCGTGTCGAGGTTTATGAAGAGTTATCACTTGACTATCTCAGATAGCCGTAGATTGGCAGAAGAGTTATCATCTGAAGTGATGACAACCAGTTGTGTCCATCATAGGTGTCTGGTGTCTGTTTTCTTCTTTACTTTCGTTATAGTTGTATTAATAGATATAATCTTAGGTATCTCTGACTTCACATGGACCGACCTACTATTTGGAGATCATGTGGGCTGACCTGGACTATGCAGATGATTACTCTCGTGTGCTTCTATCTCTGTGTGAGCAATGTCGAGGTTAGGCGGAATTTACTACGCAAGGAAGGTGAGTCAATGAATGAGGTCGTGAAGGTTTACCGACTTTGTTTGAACATGTATTGCGCACGTCGAGGCATGGTCTATCTCAATTTACAATTTTAGTCTAAATTGGACTAGGCTGGCAGAAGGACTAAGGTTGTGAAACCAAGATGTAGCATCAAACTTCCGCTTATGAAGTTTTAACACTTTCACTCTCTCCTCCCACATACATACGTCTGTTCACTCAAGTATCAGTCTTTCGCAGCCAATTGTTATTTGCATTTTGCTGTGAGGCGTAGGAACTGGAAGCGGTGCACTTTTTCGAGGGGTTCAACGTTGATTTTGTTCGTTCGAGCCTGATGCGCCTTAAAATAAGACAGATTTCTGAAATTGAGTGAATGGTTTTCTTGACCCTTATGATGTAAAACTGAGTGGTTTGGTTTGTACCACATTTTTCTGAAAAGAACCTTTCGATTTCTGTTCACTGAAAACACATCTCACTCCTGACAGTTAACTGTTGCTTTGCCCTGTACAGTTGTTTCACAGTTGACTCGAAAAGAAACCTGTTAGCGTGCTAATCCCAAAAATACTGGCCTTTCAGTTAAACCTACATGATTGATAACTCATATTAGAGCTAAGAAATTACAAAATATGTTACATTTAAATAGATGTAGTATAAAAGTTTAAAATGCAAGATGTTTCACACTTGCTAACAAGAATCCACATCCAGGAAGATAATACTTTTATGCTTTTAAAGTCAAAACAACTGATTGTCATCCCTGTGCAAGATGGATACACTTATCAACAAGGATAACAAAAACACACAGAAGATGAAGTGACAACTAGAATCTAGATAAATCATTTGTTAAGGGAAAAATAAAAGCTAAAAAGCAATTTAATCACTACAAACAACGATCAACACTCAATATACGCCATTATTTATCAAATCCATACAAACAAACAATCAGACCGATTGGATAATTGAAGAAAAAGAAAGAAGCCATATTGTAAAAGCAGAAAAATTTATTTTCAAACAACTAAGTCACCTGTAAAATTTAATTTCATCTTATCAACTTTTAATCTGAAATGGACAATAAAGGTTATCATTATCACTCATTACTTGAAGTGTACATTGCTTTCTGATGAGAAAGAAATACTTGCAGCAAACTACCAAGTAATATATATATATATATATATATATATATATATATATATATATATATATATATATATATATATATATATATATATATATATATATATATATATCCGAAAGAGGAAGTCAGTAAACAAATAACAATATTTTTGTTATGCACACAGCAAGATAAATATCATAAAGCGAAAATATAAGGAATCTAAAGAACAAAAAGAATAGTGAAAATTTTTATTCAAGAAAAAAAATGATATAAATTTTCAATGCATTTAAAGTCATTGACTGTGCGTATAGAACTAATGTGGTTGACTGTTGTGTTAATTAAAGTAGTAATAGACAGATTAACACAATTATAAACTTATCTTTAATTCTATAAATCAAATTGTTACTTCTAGTGCTGCACATATAATCATAAAATGATAACTGGAATGTCAGAATAATCACAAAAATATTCACTCTTGTTCAACAGATACTAAAATAACGATAATTAATCCAATATATAAACAATGAGCATTCAGAGGTAAACAAATTGGGGAGAAGCATTTCATCACAAGTATGAAATTTTTGGAGAAACATGGGAGGCGGATGGGCATACAACTGCATGTATATACTTACTCTGTATTTCATAATTTCGACGCCTTTTGCTGTGAATATAAAACTAATAAAGACATATACCAAAAACAAAAGCGGATTATTGAAATAAATATATCAACAAAAGTACAGGATTATAATCACATAGACGTATATCATGAACTACATACGTCAAAAAACATTATATATATATATATATATATATATATATATATATATATATATATATATATATATATATATATACGGAATAATCAAAGAAACAACTAATTTCTGAAACAAATTATAAACAAAACTATCCATAGTGTAACTATATAAAGCGAATATTTATAAACCATTGGCAAATAGGAATAATTACAATTAATGGAAGTGATGGAATTTATATTTGGTCGTAGGAACTGTAATCACACTGTAAAGGTAGAATTTGCTTCAATAGGCTTTTAACTAAAACATCTCTTTTTGGACAAGTATATAATCCAAAAGTTTTATGTAGGAATTTTCATCATCAGCATCATTAGTATCATAATTGTTCCCATCATCATTATCATCATAATTGGCTTGAATAGAATCATTATTAGTACTTGACTCATTACGCAGATTTTCTCCTTTCGTTTATTTATATGAGGTATGCGTCCAAATACAGATAATTGACCCAAACATTTACCAGTATAAACCTTTCCGCTCCAACGGCCACGATTATTACCAGAGGATGATGAATGAAGTGATGGCGAAGATGGAGAAAGGAAATGCCATTCTGATTCATTTATTACAACAGCTACAGAATCACAATGAGGAGCATCTAAGCAAAACTTATAACTTCGATCAATAATTAAATGTTGGTGTGTGGGTTCAACTAGTCGACAATGAACCCACCAAAATGTCTGACGTGGATAAGCATCAGATAACTCGGAAGAACGGCAACTACGAGCATCAATTAAAATACGATACACACACTCCAAGTGATCCTTGAGCACATCATTTTCATTTGATGCATAAATAGTTAAATAGTAAAAAGCTTGTACAGGTAAACGAACACTGTAATAACCATTCGCTTGTGATCCGAATGGTTTTGAGTCAGTGTGTTTCCATTGATGATTCGGCTTCATTTGTAGCAATGCATAACTATCACAATCAGCCATTTGATGACCTGGTCGATCAAACGATTTCAATTGATGACATAGCTTAAAGATAAAAGCCAGAAATGAGAAAATTAATTGAAACACGATACACCAAAAGTATCCATTTTGCAGAATTAATGTACAGTATAAAAGTCAATAAAATTCATAATCCTTAGACTTAAATTCTGATAATTGCTTTTCGCAGTCATCAAAGATAAATTCTTCGAGCTTAAAGGCAGAAACTGTAAATCGATTGTGCTATTAAGTAGCAATGAATTGAGTGCTGCTAACTCCCATTAGATGTCGAATGTTAGTAGTAATAATAAGAATTTTTTTTAAAAACAATCACAACCGACTCTAGCTCAGATAGCTTTGTACACTTCGTATCAACTTTGGTGAATTTATTAATTACTATGAGCTTACTATGAATATTGCTTTTTTTAATCTAAGTGAGCTGGTATGACTAGTAGTAATTAGGATAGAATGATATCAAACACCAAAGATGAAGTGAACAGACTTCCCAGTGAGCCAACAGTCAATTATCAGGACTTGATAGATGGTATTCGGTTAAAACTGTAGAATGAAGTGCAGAATCTGATACATAACATTGCACTCGAAGCAAAAGACATGTCGAATTGAGCACTGACAGTAACTGCCATCAGGTATACAATATTTTAAAATCCTTCATATATACATAAAAATTACCAAAAAAAGAAGTTATTGCTTGAATGAATGATATGTGGCTTTCAACTTCAACATATAACTCATGAAAGTCTTCTAGTTTCCTTTCAAATTTGAAAAGTCACTGAAATTTTTCTATTTCTTAGACATAAACACTGACTGTGCAAGAAAAGGCTATACTGACCGGCTTCAGCTCAAATCATTATTGCTATGATTCTTGGATGGAAACAAACTTCGCATCTGAAAGCAATTATTTTATATACAACTAGCAAATTCTCAAACATGACCAAAGAAGATTTTTTTTTTAAACATCATGAAGTATTATCATCAAAAGAAACGACATATGGTTTGTTAGGATCCACAATTAAAAGTTGAAATTTCAAATTGAGATAAAATTTAGGTAGACTGCCAGAAGTAAGCTCTAAAAAAAATTACAACACTACTGTACTATATTTCATAAATTGTAAACCTGTTTGGTTTTTTACCTTTCAAAAGATTCAAAATTCAACCTTAATTTTTATAAACTATTTTTGTAGTTGATTAGACTTGAATGAATAAAATGGTTATTTAGAGTATGATCAAAACCTCAAAGCAATAGTCTCCCAGAGAACGGTTTGAATAAAATCAACGATCAAACAAACCTTTAAACCGGGAGCTATAGCAAAAGGAATTCTTAAAGGTCTTGGGTCATTGTGTACAATATACGGTCGACCGTCAGATGCATCACCCTCTGGTACCATAATTACACCATGTACTTGTGAAGCAGGTGTACGACCAAGAAAGCCAACTTCAGGTAAACGACCAGTTACCACCAAACGGGAGTAATTATACTCTGAACAATGAATCTATAGGGAAAAAATGATGAACAGGCAGGTAACAGTAGTACTTCCTAAGGTCCCAAAAATGAAGATGAAATCATAGTTAGTAAGACAACTAACGAAAACTAACTCGAAAAAAAAAACGATTTCGAAAACTGTAATTGAATAAAAACGAAACACACACCGGTTAGAATAGCAATAATTAAATACAGAGTGTTACTAGAAAAATGTTTCAACCGAACAAAACTTAAAACTGACAAAAAGGAGTTAGGCAATAAATAGTCATAAGACTGATAAAAATACAACACTCACATTTGTTTGTCAGTTTTCCCAATTACAACGAACCTGAAGAACTAGTACACAAAAAATCGAATAACAATATCAGTATGACGTGATAGTTGGTTTGCACATCCGTTTCTTTGCTAAAGTTGAGACTAGATATTCGCAAGAGTTCAGTAAATACCTCCATAATTACATTACCTAAAGTTTATATTGTAGCTTTTAAGTCTTTCCAAAAGGAAAGCTTTCTTGTTCAAGAGAAGGAACAGTGAAGAAATCAGAGCCTTCCAACCAAATCAAAATAGGACCAGGCATTACTGAGTAATGGTTCCAGTTGCCACACCTCATATCACTACAGCAAGTAAAAAGGCAGTGAACTGCAAGATGAAGAAAAGGAAGTTCAGACAAAAGGAATATAAAGTACGAAAAGAGAGAAATGAAGAATGAGAAAATGGTGACATTCGGTATAACGTTAAGGTGAGGATAATGTGTGTATACATGTGCACCGCTGACATTGATTCTCAGCCATATCACCTAGTCTCCAACCGCTGGCTCCTCTCGTCTCGTGGACTCCAACCGGCTAGTCTGCATCGTCCCACATGGAATAAACCAACAGTCAAAGACTTCATACACTGATGTCACGTTTTGGTCTGACCGCCTAGAGCCTTTTTTCAGCCTGAACCTACTTCGGCCAACATATTGTATGACGAGACAATCGGTGACTAGGCAAACGTAATACGTGTCCCAACCATCTCAGTCGATCAGAAATCAGAGTACTGACACCTTAAGTAAAAAGACGCAATAACTAACAGTACGACGATGAGGAATTCACTGTTCGCTAACTCTCAATAACGCGTATCTCAATGCTCTGAGTTCTTTCACTCTCATTTCTAAACATCTTACATTGTCTGTTCGTTGAAACTGCTTATAAGACACTCAATCCCTGCCACAAACCACTGCATCATTTCAAAATCTATTGTTATGCCAATCGTTGTCCTTTTAATTAACGTAAAAAACTACGAATTCAAAAAAACTTGTATGATTTATCATCAATAGCTAACCTGGAATGAGCAAGCCAATTCTCTAACATCTTCTCGTCGCCAATCAGGTGAAACATAAACATTTAGGTAATATTTTCCGGGTTGTGAAGGTGCAGCTTGAATACGGACAATTTCTGGTGGTCGTAGTAAAACTTCAACTAGACATAAGCCTAACAAGATACTATGATCCGCACAATTCTCCAAACTGCAAGAAATACCAACAAATTTTGACATCTTAATTTTTATGCTCACCTAAAACATAGAAAAGAATTAGCGTTAACAATTTATAAAATATGAATAAACTGATAATAAAATAAAAAAAATGGAAATTTGCGGTGCGAAAGATAAACCCACGATTTTCACATATGGTATTTTCGTTTTGATAATCATATACATGTTTTTCAGACATTATGATAATGATAGAACGAAACGACAATTGGACAAAGCTTGGATTTCACAATAGGATAACATGAACGATATACAACTGCTACCACAATTCTAAACCTCTTCAATATAAACATAAAATTGCATAAAACTTGAAAAAGCCATAAAATAATCTCATCTACAAATAAGGCTTAATTTTAACTGTCATCGAACTTAGACACCTAGTGGGATACAGAAAGCCAATTTAGGATTGGCCAACTTGAGTCACCTGTGGCGCCGACTGGTGAATATACTGTGTTGCAGTTCATTTTATCGTGTTGTACGGGTTACGATATAGCCGATAAAAGTAGAAGACACGAAGTCATTACAGGGTTTTGATCACAAACGTCCTCACAGCATTGCTCACGTTTGTTGGAATCACTGTGTGAGAAATGTTGAGGTAAGGCGAAGATCATGCAGCAAACAACAGCGGGGAGCAAGAAGAGGGGGACAGGCTGGCTGGACTGCGGAAAAGAACCTGGAAGATCTGGATTTCGCCGATAACTTGTGTCTAATGTCGCACAAACTTGAAGATCTACAGGCGAAAACTAACAAGTTGGCAGAAGAGGTAAGGTGGTGAAGACGGGACTTCAGGTGAATATAGAGAAGACAGAAGTGATGAAGATACCGCACCACCACCAACAACAAACTTCAGTCACCATCAACGGGAGAAACTTAAAGGAAGTAACCTCCTTCACCTACCTACCTAGGCAGCACTGTTTCAACTACAGGTGGCACAGACAAGGACGTCAAATTCAGCCAGGGTCGGAAAAGCAAGACAGGCGTTTATTAGCCACAAACCAGTGTGGAGATCTTCTGCACTCAGCACAAAGAACAAGATCCAGATTTTCAACACCAACTTCAGTCAAGTCAGTGCTTCTACATGGTTCAGAGACTTGGCGCGTTACGAAAGGGATTTCCAATAAACTACAGACATTCATCAACAACTGCCTACGCTGGCTCGCTACTGAAGATCAGATGGATGGCCAGAAAGAATAAGCAACAAGGAACTCTGGTTGGCAACCAACCAAGAACCCATCACCCAACAAATATGCAGAAGGAAGTGGAGATGGATTAGGCATACACTGAGAAGGCCGACTAGGGACATCACGCGTCAGGCCAGGTACTCGAGTGGAATCCGCTTGGGAAGCGATGAGTCGGACGTCCGAGGGTGACATGGAGATCGTGCGAGGAGGAAATGAGAGCTTCTGGGCTGTCGTGGAGCCAGGTTCAAAAGATTTCAGAGAACAGAGTTCACTGGAGGCGTGCTACTGAAGCCCTATGTTTCATTAGGAACTCAAGGGACTAATAATAATAATATTATAATGATGAAGTATTACACCTAAAATGTTCTAACCTTATTAAATATCAGGATGGATCACAGTAGCGTAACTACAATGTTCACTGACTAATTTTGCTCAGGTTAATAACACGATGGCTCACTATACATAGTATTCATTATTTAATTACATAACTACTGAAGAGGCGTATTTTCTCACTAATTTAACCATATTTATCAATCTTCATCCTTTAAAATCTTAAATTTTGGTTTAAAGCGAAGAATGGACAATGGCGTTTATTATTCTTTTTCCCTACCTTTAGTTCTAGCTAAGGCTGATGATGATGCTGATGATATATATATATATATATATATATATATATATATATATATATATATATATATATATATAGTAATTGCTTTCAGATGCGAAATTTGTTTCTATCCAAGAAACATAGCAATAATCATTTGAGCAGAAGCTGGTCAGCATAGTCTTTTCCTGAACAGTCAGTGTTTATGTCTAAGAAATAGTATTATTTAACCTTAAATGGAAAAGGGAAAAATGTGAAGTTTACCGGTTTTGATGTTCTTTTTATGAACACTAGGCTGGTGGTGTTTATCAAAAGCAATATCAGTCGCTAAAAATAATCACTATTATATGTGAGATGTGATAAGAAATTGAATACGAATTCAAAAACCATCTTTAAAAACCAATAGGAGTACATCAAAGTCACCGATATTTCAACCTACATAAGCACATAAAAAACCGCACTGGTTGAAGTTGATATACTTCGTAATGGTGAAGTGAATAAATACCATACAACAAAACAATATTCTGTAACACGAAAAGGGAGATAAGTAGACAGGAAACGTCGGTGATGATTCAGGGTGAGATAAATGGCGAATGTGTGTACACCACCCTGGCCGATTCTCATCCCGTTTACCCATAAGCGAAAAAAATTGACCCAACTCAACCCACTAGAGGTTTACGTACAAGGTTATAAGGCACACTGGTTATGTGAGGACTTATGGTACTTCCCAGTCGCATAGGTCAAAGCGAATAGAACTGGATATGAACCTGAGACCTGTTACTTGAAACTCAAGTGTTTAAGTCAATGAGGTATATGTCTTTCATCCAATGTTCCCGACATCAGTGGTTCATTTTATATCTAGTGGACGCAGAACATGTACCGAATAACTTCAAAATTCGGCTATGTTCAGAAGGAAAAAATCTCACTAACTTCTCACTTGAAAACGATATGTCAACAAAAGATGGTACTTTCGAGCTGAAAATTATTTTTCCAATGCGAAAAGGACAGTGTGACCATTTGCTACACTTATATTGATTAATCTTCAAATCTCTAGACAACAAAACATAAGCCCATCGTGAAACATCGAATGATTATACGACTACAAATGAATTTTGTAATAAAGTGGTATTTATAGCTGATATTTGAACACTATAAAATCAGGCTGGTAATACAAACCAAATACTCGAAGGATAGTAGGTGCATTAAAGTGTAAAACCCATGGCACATTAAAATCTATGCAAAAGCCTCACTCTTGCTTCTCATGATTAGTAGTCTATTGATTACAACTTGGGTAAAATTTAAACTGAACCAGTATTTTTGATGTAGCAAGGCGCATGTGCAATCCAAAATAGTTTAACTGCATTATCCTCACAAATGCTATCAGCTATCTAATTTTTTGTCGGTTCAGCACCTGATAACTCAGACAATCGTACACATTCGCGCAGCAGGCAATGAGCCACACCTGTTGTGTGAGGGCCAATGATACTACTACCTGGCTTCCCAAACCTCAGTAGGTGGAGCGGAGCTCGAACTCGTGACGCACTGGTTGAAAGTCAACTGCCTAAACCAGAGATCCACAGTTCAGCAACGTGGATAAGAAGTGAGATAGTCCAGTCAGAGCAGAAATTAAAACACTTAAGACTTTCTTACTTAAATTTACGTTCGTTTTTAATATTATAAACCCTAAATGCACAGAAATTGTTTTCGATATCCAATAAGCAGAAAATGACAAATTTAACTGGAAAACGAATGCATTATCTGTTACGATCCAACGCTATAGATAACGATACAATGCTCCAAGACGATACGACTAGCGATAGAACAATGACCTCTCAACTCGATATTCCGCTGAACCAGAAGATGACGGGATTGAAAGTTTAATTGCTCCAATCGAATAATAATAGGTGAAAACTTAGTCGTTTATATATCCTTAGATGGCCTTGGCCAGAGAAAACAAAAGAGCATATTCAAAGTATAAGTATCCTAAACTGCGGTAAAATTAAACAATATAGTATGGCCCAAAAAAGGCGCAAAAATAAGACTTAAACTTTACAACGACACTATAAACATATTATAAGCTCATTTTCTTAGGGATTAGCCACCCCTAACAATATCAGACATTCGATACGATAGATTACCAATCATAACTACTTTATCTACACAACAGTTAGGAACGGTAATTCGCGAATGAAGTAGACTGGAAATAACAATGGATATCCATGTGTACTAGGGAGGCTTACACTCCTTACATTTCATACTCATTATTTGTACTCTTGAAATGTTTTGTTCGCGCTCTTCCTTCCACCCTTGGGTCGCATTTAATGTAACGTGCTGCGGTTCTGATTGGCTCTTGTATCTAATTATCCTCCCTTTTTCAAGATCACTGCGTATATAGTGTCCGTTTTTACCAATAAACGCTTTCAGACCGAGATACCATAAACTCAAATGAATACCGTTCCTTTGATTTCCCTCTACAAATCACTCAGAATGAATCTGCTCAATCGTTAATTATTATCGTTCGTTCTCAAAACTCTGCTCCGTGACAAAGTCAAAGTTTACTTTGTAGAGCACATTTGATAAGACTTGTCTATCATGCGAGCCTTATTTTAACTTCAGTAATTATTCCATTGAAGAAGAACGGTTAAGATTTGCATTTAACAATTTCCTAGCTACACAACTCGCTGTAGTCGATGCGTGTTCACATGTAAATTATGAACATATAACAAACAGCTATACAAAAACTGTGCCTAGGGCTTAGGTAAAGAGAAAATGATTCATTAGTACAGATAGGATATAGTATATAAATTAAACTTGGAACGTACTTGTCCATTTTTAGTGATTAAACAATCAGAATAATTTCTTTTCAGAGATAAATTGGCATTGAAAAACGGTGATTTTAGTAGTGGTAAGTGGCAAAATCGATTTATACTCAACGGTTTGCGTAATAGCTGCCACACTTTTAAATCGGGTAAATTTTCAAACACATGCTGTTCAGGATCGGTGAGAAAATAGAACTCATCACACTCAGAAGGACCAGTTGAACGACCGTCTAGTATATCTATAAACATAGGAATGTAAGGAAATACAAAATGTATCCATACAGACTGATGAAACGTTTTATCGATTAAGACAACTTAATGATTCGACTGTAAACTAAAATGTGCTTATACTTAATACGAATAACAAGTCCACATGTAATTTTAACACTGATCGAAGACACATTTAATCTTGCCTAAAATGTCTACACTTGACATGTCTAAGCTTACACAGTATATGCTGTAATAGTATTATTAGACATCGTCCTATTGGAGAATGGTATTGTGATATAAAGATGTTAATGGGATCACCAATGTTTTTGAAGCGCTCTTTGTGTCCAGTTGATTCAATGAGTAAACAATACCACAGCTAGCGAGCTATAGCAGTTAATGAAATGATGAGATGCTTCGGGAAAATATCACATACACCTCAATTACCACATGCTTTGATGCGTGATGCTGATTGAAGCAGAAGTAAGGCGTAGTTAGAATAAGAGAAGCAATAGCCGGACGACCACTACAAATGTATCTTACCATATCTTCATTCTGGTACAACTGTGCAATTTTTCTTGGTGTTTATTCATTTCTCTCACTGATTTTGCATTTTATATAAAGGTGAATCCCAAGCATTCTGAATAACATATAGCATTGTTCCACTAGTCAAAGTTAGCGAAAGCCTAAATATAAGCTATAGAAATATATTTAAAGTCAAGAAGTAGTTAGTTGTCACAAAGGGAGCTGTGGCTAGTGGTTTTGGGGAGATGACTATCTCTACCAACAAGTCATGGGTTCGAAATCCAATCTACCTACGGAGGTTAGGGCAGCCAGGTAGGTAGCATCATTACCCCTCAAACACAATAGGTGTGGCTCACTGTCTGACTGGGTGCATTTCTTCTGTGTTTTTAGTTATCACAAAACAACCACACAACATTGTATGATAAACATAACATGATATTGTTGGATATTTAACCTTGCTTAAAATTATTCTTGCTCTGAAATCTATGAGGGGGTTGGCTGAAAACAGTGGGGATGTTACCAAATCACCAAACTCTTCAGGGTCTAATTAAAAAAGGTCCCTAATAACAAGATTAGATACCAGTGTGATCAAAACTATTTTCAAGTCAAGAAGCTGAAAATCAACCTAAAACAGCTATAATGGCAAACAAAAAATTTGTTAATATTAAGAAGGGGATTCAAAGAAAAAACTGGTAATCACTGAAAAATAAAACCTACTTTCTGTTAAGTAGCGAGCACCCAGTTACAGTTAACAAAACGCCAACCATCACAAATAAACACCGCAAGCCATGTGTTACGAAAGAGACGGTTTTCTTTAATTGGCATTCCAGGACGATATCCAGCACCTTTGGAATACCCGGTTATGTACTGACAGTGAAACCCAACAAACCTAATTTGGAGAGATTAAAGTGTAAGTCTCAATACTTCACGCAACTGGTTCCCTTAACAAGCAATGACGTAATACATGCCAATGAACAGTTGTCACGATATATATATATATATATATATATATATATATATATATATATATATATAGAGAGAGAGAGAGAGAGAGAGAGAGAGAGAGCACAGAAACGAAATCAAACGAACATATGAATACATAAAGGATGCACATTTTGTATCATAAGAAAAAAAAATACCAGTATCACTAATTTCTGATTTCAAGCTTTATCCGCCTAAGTTTCTGAACAAACTCCACTGCCGTCACCGTGACAACAGATAATGCAGTTAGTAAATATGTAAATAAACATTTAATAACTGCAAAAAATGGTGTAATGATATAATTTACACACAAGAAAATATAACACGTTCATTTCACTACATTATAGAAAGTGTATGCATATCCTAAAACACCTGCATATGAGTGGTATCCAAAGCCTCGATTATTCGTCAAATATCTGAGTTTAAGGTTAGACATTCGATTACAGATGCATCAGGATTTACTTTCAATAAACATACAGGAAAGAATTGAACTGATGAGGAACACAGACCTCTACAGACGTAAAATTACCTCCTCAAAACTAAAATCTTATGTACAATCAGTTTATTTTAAGAATTCATACACAGAAAGAGAAAAGATTTTCAGGAAACAACAGATTTATTGTTTGTCATTAACTATCTTTCAGTCAATTACTGTGAGGGGTTAGCTAATTGAAACCAATGAGAGTTAACATACTTCAGAAATGGTCAATTCACTGCTCATTAGAGAAGATTAGGGAATTTTCAGGAGAATTCCGAAATCCAGCACAATATTCCATGCTGGCAAGCACAGTTGAAAACTACTTGTACAGGGTACTAGAATTAACCAGACACTGAAATACAACCGCCTAAGTTTATGGTGGAAATAATAAGTGGGTTTTTTTTTTAACTATATAAGTTTACACTGAGAAAAGCCTTTGAACTATTCAAATCTGGAAAGCTACTGGGTTTAATTTGAAACTTTTGGCGAAAAAATGTTTTGAAAAATCCACAAATCAAGATTATACAGCTACATAAACGCAATTAATAGGAAATCACAACTGCATTTCATCTGGGTACATGATAATAAGCCACAAATATCAATAGACAGATGATTCTTTACATCCTGTATACGAAAATCACACGTTAGAATGTAGTTTGTACAATAGAAGAAACTATACAACAAATTATAAAATAAATTCATTTTCTGAAAGAAAGCATGCATTAAATTGATCGTTCAGAGTTCAAAACAGATTTATAATGACCTTAAAATAGATAAATTACCTATTTTGATAGGGAAAAAAATGTTATAGAAAGATAAATCAATAAGAAAACTCCTAAATCCTATCTGTATTTCCAATATGCTGAATTTTCTGAAGTAGTGACAAACAAACATCAAGTTTCTGAGCTTTAGGTTTTACTAGTGTATGCAACATATGAAAATGCATCTGTCGTAAAATATTCCGCAAAAGCAAAGAAATAATACCAAAAAAATTGTCTCGTTTCAAAAAACTTTTAAAAAGTAGGTAAGGCTGCGATACTAAAATAGACATTCGTATATTGAGTACACATTACAGAATGTATCATTTTTGCTGGAAAACTTCCTAACAACCTATTGTGTAGATAGAAGTATGACACTGAAATCGGTTGGACTAATTTACGACTATTTTACTTCTTGCTCTAATCTGTGACCTACTTGTAAGTGGAATTAAACAAGTGACGACGAGTTAATTTGAACAATTCCTATTTCATTCATATGTAACTGGTAATGATCAGTAGATGTACTACGTGGTTATTTCAATACATATGAATATGGTAGAATATTCCCTGAGAAGAAACTTCAATCTATAAGTGTGTCAGTGGAAATAAATAACCAGTTTCAATTAAAGTCTAATTGTTAGACGAAGACCGTTTGGGGATATCACGCGCCAAGCCCTTGAGTGGAACCCAAAGGCGTCCGAAGGTGATATGGAGGAAATCGTGTGAGGAAGAAATGAAAGCTTTTGGGCAGTCGTGAATCCAGGTTGAAAGGCTGCAGAGAATATAGTGAAATGGTGACGTGCTACTGAAGCCCTATGTTCCACTAGGAACTCAAAGGACAAATAATAATAATAATAATAATAAAAGAATTATTAGGTAAGATCTATTAGGATTATCATTACACATATGTCCCTTAAGTATGTGTTGAATATCATGAAAGAGTTATCAAATTTTCAACACAATAAAATATAATTAACAAGTTACAGCCTCTAATCATCAATAATACTACATTATATCCTCAAATAAATTATGATTTATAACTACAAAAAAGAACGCAAATGGAGTGATGATGCAGAACAACGTCAGCGGAAAGAATCTTATTCGAAAAGATATAAATTTACATAGACAACATCGGAAGTCATCACTTTGCAATTAAACTCCTCCGTTGATCACGTAGACAGGCAAAAGCAATGTTGAACTTTGAACAGAGATCAATCGGTTCACATCGCCACACCTCACAGCAACATGCAAAGAATAAGTGGTTACAAAAGAGTAAAGATTATAGAGAGGTGTACGAGAAGAGTAGGAAATCGAAAATTTAGGTAAGCGAAAATACTTACAATTTCGAAGATGTCAAAAAGTGAATAGATCTGCACCATTGTGATCAATTCCCAGACATATCACCAAGAATCTGCAATCATTGATTCCTATGGCTTCAGGGATCCCAGCCAGCCAGGCAATCTACACCTCCCTACACTACTAAGACCAACTGTCAGAGACTTAGTGGACTGGTGCCACGTCCTGTTTTTGTCACCCTAAACCTTCTTTCAACTCAACTTATATACACTGATTGGCCACTGAAGAGCAATCAATCTAATGCTGTCTAGTCCTGAGTGCTGACAGAATGCAGGTACACTTCGCTGACGAGTGCCAAAATGCACGAAAAAAAGGTCCAAGGCTTACTGCCGATTGCCTCCAACCACCTAACATCAACCAATCCAACTTCATCTAACATTTCACGTTAATGTGAAGGTGGTTCAACATGCACAACACACGTCCAAACCATCTTAATCGGTAAACGAGCAGGTTTTTAACACTTATCAAAGTTCTATACTCGAACTCAAGCAGCTGTGTAAGGACCTATTGAGAGGTGTCATATGAAGAGACGTCAACTGGTGATGTTCTCCAGGGATGTACACCGTCACCGTTTCTCGTTAACGTCGTTATAGACGTACTAATGGAAATAACCTTAGGTACGTCTAACTTCAGAGGGATCAACCTACCCCCCGGAGGTCATCTGGTTGACTTGAAATATGCAAACGATATTGTCCTGCTGGGTGAAAGAAGACGCTGACAAAATGCAGGGTCTTCTGTACAAGTTGAGTAGAAATCTTGGTATGTTTGGCAAGCGTTTCGCACCTGTCAAATGTTAGATGATACTCAAAGACCGGTCTGCAACTACTCTAAATCTGAGGATAGGCGATGAAGAGGTAGAATGTGTTGATCACTTCACTTACTTAAAGAGTTGCATCAGCCTAATCTACTTGGCTGTTGTCAAAAATTTCGGCTAGGAAACAGAAGGCCTATTTGACAGCTTTCAACTTGCTTCATATCTGACACAGACTGGTGAAACATCCGACCACGTGTCAACGGATGAGCAAACTGAGCTTCCAGGTCCTTCTGTCCTGTTATGCGACCATGAGACATAGTCGTTGGAAGTAGAGGATATGAAAAAATTACAGGTTTTCGAACACAGGTGCCTTCGTAGCATTGCTTACGTCACGTGGAGTCACCGTGTGAGTAGTACCAAGACTACGCGAAGGGTACTAAACAAGGAAGGGATCGTCTCCTAAAGCTTGAATGTTTTCCCTAACCTTCATTTTAAACTGTTTCTCCTCTGATTCGCTTTGCGTCTTCTTTGATATAAGTCTTTTTCTACCTACTTGTTGTTAAGTGAATCTCCAGAAACTAAAAGGGTGGATTTCGCAGATTCACCAGATGCCAGAGTTTTGGCTAGAGGAACTTATTGTCTCATTAAAGGCAGAGTGCAAAAAATGAAAGCTCTAAGATGAAGTTTGGAGCGTAGTGTCAGGAAAGCGAAGATGCTGTTCCGATAACTCGAATTGTTACCAAGAACTGCAGAGCAGGAAGAAATTAAAAGCTTTTTACGAAAATTGAGCGAGAGACATGTAGAAATACTAAAAGGTAAAGATGTGGAAGGTTGATAGTAGTCTTAGGGAACATGAGTGCTGATAGAGTTTGATGATGGTTGGTAGTTCTCGGCTCTCCACACCGTCTTGCCAATAATCAATAAGCATCCATGAGCTTCGTGCAACTTTTGGCGCTCGTCAGTTTATTCTTGCGTAAATTCCTTACGCGACAGATCACGAAACATTTGCGTGAGGATGGAGACGCAATAGTCGTAATCTGTTTTACCCCCATCCAAGTCAGCGACATCAAGAAGCCTGGTATCGTCAGTGAGGTGGGGAGTGAACTTGATGATACGCCGATCCATAGTCTTTGTTAACACATGGAACGCCGGATAGCACTGAACTGTAATCCGGTTAGTTTGCTGCTCTTGCAACACCCAATTTATTGTTACTCAGCACCAATTAGCAAAGCGAAGCGGATATTCCTAAGAAATCCCAAGCATTAAAGTAGAATAAGGTAACCTGTTAAGCAACCTACACCCAGCTCTTCCTACAGATGTAGGTGAAATTTTAATTAGGAAACTGACTTCATTGTCTGGGAAGGCATGGCAGACAGAGTGTTCCATCACTAAGGAATGAACCCACCTTTAATTATCGGCGTATCAATATGCTACCGGTAGCACTTAAGGTGGTGACCACTATCATACTTCATAGGATGCGTAAAATATGTGAGAATGTGATTCGCAAGCAGCAGGTCAAGTTTCGTTCAGGTCGTGGATGTGTTGATCATATGTTCACCGTCGGCGAGATGTCTTAGTACGGCTACACGCAATGCAGATTAATGATCGTTATGCTTCTCGATGTTGGGGCTGCATTAGATTTGCTGGACAGCGCTGCACTTCGAACTTTTCTGACGAGGGCTGTCCCTAAGTAGTTTGCTCACATCTTGTGATCTCCGTAGTTTAGCATCTAAGGTAGAGTGAAGGCATACAGTCCCTTATCTCCATTATTCTATGCCAATAGTTAGTGGGGTTAGACAGGATCGTACTATTTTGCTATTCTTTCCATGTGACAACATGCAAGCTACACAATCAGTATGTGATCAGTATCTGTGAGTACAGTATACGCTTTTCGCCGAAAAATTGCTTCTACAAGATTGATAAGAGACTGTACTTGCACTGAATCACTGGGAGTTATCGAGAATTTTGTGTACCTGGGAAGTCGTGTGTACTGATGGAGGTGTGGATAGTAAAATTTCCAACCGGATATTGAAAACCAGGGTAGCATATTTTAATATGGGTCACCTCTGGTGTCATCGTGATGCCAACCTTGCCGTAAAAACCCAGGTACACAACGCGTCCGTGCAAGCAGCTTTGATTTACGCCTGTAAAACCCGGCCTCTCCAAGCTGAGGATGTTCGACGATTGTGTGCTTGATCACTGCTGTCTTCACAGGATCGCCCGTATACTGTGCAAATACCATATAAGCAATTATGAGGTGAGATGGAAGTGATTGAAATTACCATTCATTGAATGTAGTCATCCTGAAAACCGGTTTTAAAGGCTCGGGCATGTGTTACTCATGTCGTCGCAGCAGCTCATATACTGCTCATTGTTCGCTTGTCCTTGGAATGGTTGAAAGAAGCGGGGAGTTGGCCAGTGTATGAGGTGGCATCGTGTGATGAAGGATACTGTTGTTTGGTTAGCATACGTAGGTGCTTCGTGACTTCCTGAACGTGTTCCGAAAGGTCAAGCAACTCAACGGTTTGAGGCAATAGCAGACATGCCTCAAAATCGAAACCAGTGGCGATCATACTGCAGTTTCATTATTCCTTCTATTACTGAAAATTGAGGGGAGAATAATGAGTGCTTCTTCGAAGGTGTCTTAGGGTTTGCTTTTTTATTAACCCACATCTCCTTTTTGTCTCGATTCTCTCTCCCCGTTTTATGTCTTCGTATTGTTGCTTTATTGTTTTGTACAGCACGTTTTCTAGTGTCCACATTGTGTTCTAATAATAATAATATGATATAATTTGATAACCATGTATATTTGAGTGGTAAAATTACTCTTAACTCTTGGTTCACATGTAGTAAAATGAAATGGAATATTGGTGACTCATAATGAGGTGCTTGCATTGTGTTACAAGTCACAAACCGACGTCTACCTCTAAGTACAATGCTGGCTGAGGTTTAGGAGAATCTTAGAGATGACCAAACCATAAGGTCAGAGGCTTGCTTAAATCTCATGCTAAAAAGGTTGGTATAGAAAAGATGATGTTGAATTGCTCCCTCTGCACTAGTTTCGATCATTAAAACGTTAAATAGGATTAGGTACCCTTGCACATTTTTAACACGTTTTTGACCTGCTATTTTCGCAAATTGTCAATAAAATTAAGAAACATCACGACAGATAGAGGTCTACTCTTAAGTGCACAACAATGCCTCATACGACTGTTTGTGAAATAGTTAGGTCGAATTACAGATTTTTGGGCTGATTTGATGAACAATCATCATCGAACGTACGCACGCTTTTCTATTTGTCCCAACTTCAGACTGTATGATCATCTAATAACAGCTGGTACTTACATATTGTTGCTTATAATCATGTTATTATTATCACTATGGAGATGATATAATTATTTCATTTGAATATATTGTACAAGGCGTAAACTCACGGAAAAATTACATGTTGTGCACTCAACACCGCATCAAACATATTACCTGAGATATTATTATTAAACAGCATCATCTCATGAAGTTGTTGACTATTCGTATGAATAACTTAGTGGCGTGCATGTAGAGATGATCCAGATGCTGAGAATCAATATATAAAGCCGCAGATAAAGTGGATGAAATCGACTGAATTCCATAAATGTATTCATTCTTGATTATCTTGAAGATTCGATTACTTTCCAAATAGTGGAGAATATTTGTAACTCACGTGGATGGTCTTGGTTGTATTGTGTTTTCTGAGCTGGGTTGTGAAGCTTTCATCATCTTTTTAAACGACATCATCAGCACTAACTTCAGTATGAAGTTATTATTTTATTTATTTACTTAACTAATTATTACTGATTTTAATATCTTTATGATTCTTTGACTTATTCATTCTGTAGTGCTATGAAACGCAGAAAATGTAACCATTGCATTGGCATACTGCTTTCTATAAAGCGTTTTCGTCTGTTTGCGTGTAACTAATAAAACGAGGCATTGTACTAGACTGAAATGAAAGTTGTACACTTAGTTACTAAACTAAAAATTAACCACATGATTAATGCAGAAATAAATCAAACAACCGTTATTAAATCATTGCTTCCAGTTCAAATACTCCGAATAAGAGTAGCTTAATAATGCGAAACGATGTCATTAATATGCATTTTTAAATAGCGAACAGCTTACCGACATAGTTCGTAAAACATTTCATTACGTGACAACTGATTATATTTCATTTGTCTCAACATTCCAATCAGTGAATCAGGTGGAGCTTCGGGATCATAATCTTCAAATCTTATATCTTTGCCTGTAGTCCATCTGTACAGTGAACTAAAAGAGATTTTTGAAAGATACCATTATATATTTAGCATAAAAATGATTTAAATTTGATTGCACTCTGGTTTATCTACCTCTAAAAATCCAAAAGCACAAACGAAATAACATCTGATTCAAAACAAACTAATGAAACGAAAAATAATTCATTAAAAAACCAGTAAGAAGACGTAGTTTATCTGAAATGTGTGATGTATTAATGTAAAATATTTCGAACAATCTGATCACACACCTACTTGCCATGCATATGTATATAGATTATAAAGAAGGATAAGTGGATTTTATAAATAATCGACATAACAACGGGTCAAATTGCTAGCTCAGAGGTCAAATAATAGATGAATATAGAATATATTACAAAAATGTTACATATTCTGAGAGGATAAAATACGCACGCTGGCCATCATCATCTATCAACATAGGACCAGGTATTACTGAGTAACGGTTCCAGTTGCCACACCTCATATCACTACAGCAAGTAAAAAGGCAGTGAACTGCAAGATGAAGAAAAAGAAGTTCAGACAAAAGGAATATAAAGTACGAAAAGAGAGAAATGAAGAATGAGAAAATGGTGACATTCGGTATAACGTTAAGGTGAGGATAATGTGTGTATACATGTGCACCGCTGACATTGATTCTCAGCCATATCACCTAGTCTCCAACCGCTGGTTCCTCTCGTTCCACATGGATTGAACCAACAGTCAAAGACTTCATACATTGATGCCATGTTTTAGTCTTGCTGCGTCGGGCTTTTTTCTAGCCTGCACGCTGAACTGACAGCTAACTTCCTACGCAAGACCCACCGACTTCAACCCGAAACGAAATAAAGAAGATTCAACTGGATGAGAGAATTTATTTCTCCGAGAAGAATAGTCGATTAACGCAAACACATGGGTGTGTATCTATACATGACATATGACTTTGTCCAGAAACTGAGACACAGTGAAAGTAAGCACTAACCAATCAGGGAATTACCTTAAAAATAGGGGCAGCAAATGAACTACTGGTCATGCTGTAACAAATAGCATGAAAATGACAATTTAAGACTTTAGATTAACAACCAATGTTTTATGCAAATCTGGGCCTTCTAACAGTTTAGTCGCCCTTGATGTGAAAGCTGAGTTTCCAAGGGGGGTTTAGTGTGACAACAGATAGTTTTTTGAATACACAAAAAAGGTATAAACTCCTTAATAGCTACAGTTTCAATCAACTTTGTGACTCGTTTCAATGACAAAATAATGTTTAGCTATAGATAACTCTGGACATCTGTTGTCTGAGTCACTGAGATCATTATATTTGATGTTTTGTTGCAGCTGCAGACCCATTTGGGAATGTGCTAATATTAGCAGACAAATATAAAATAGATTAGAGATTCCCATTTCATATGCTAAAAGCCGAGTTAGAAAGAAGAATATTCTCTAAAATAACTTCTCATCAGGTTCTACAGTTAGAAAATCAAATTTGTTAACATCGTAATGGCCAAATTTGTGACTAATGCATTTCATGATGGATGTGAAACTACAACTAGGTTGATTTAATTTTGTGGATGATGGTGTGTCATATATAGACTAGACACAGTTAAAGTTGCTATTACCTGCTCACATACATTTCCGTTCATACAAAGGCCAGTGTGCATATCATTAAAAAATCAACAGCCGCTTGTTATCAAAATACAAAAACGTATGCTTGCCTTTGTTACTAGCTTTCTCTTTCTAGCTTACTGTTTCTTACTCTCTGAGAAAAGTTAATGCGGTTAACTATTTTCGACATCTTGTTCAAACAGATGCCACCTTATTTTAAAATATGACTGGGAGGTGATACAGTGCTAAAAATGTGCAGTTATGATACTATTATTGCCTTTTAAACTTTCCGAACACAAAGGAAAATGATTACTTACCGCACAACTTCAACATCACTTTCCAAACCAGTCGTGAGATCAGAAATTAGATCAGAGAACGTTGTATGAATACGATTAGTGACCTTAAATAGAAATATCAGTATAACGAATAAATTTGTTAAAAATAAATTACAAAACAAAATGAAAAGTTATACACAACTGACAATCACAGATAAGAGATTTGCCTAACAACTAGAGGAAAGCTCCAGTTTCCACAGACCAAATACATCACCAATGCACCAACGAAATTCAACTTTGGTTTGCTTGCATCACGGTCATCTACTTAAGGTGCACCGAAGATTAAAACACGACCACAAAAAATCAGTCTGCCCCAATCTTATTTCGTCCGATAATATATGACCGATTTCTTACACATGCATTATCAAAAACTGAGAGTTAGGTGGGATTCCCACCGTATATAAGAAAAAGTAAAATGATGAGACGCGGTCGTTAAAATAACAATTACATGCTTTCCCAACAGCCTGCAATAGCACAAAAACTATTTGTCTGATCAGGTTGATCATTTCATTGTCACAAAACACTACCTAACTCACTCGAATTGATGACAAAAACATTTATAGCAGATATAAACTAGTTCGAATTTCCCCGAAAAATATCATTTGAGGCGTCAATCAATCAACCAGTCATTATTAACACAGGACCACTAGGCACTACTGAGTAAGGGTTTAAGTTACAAACCTCATACGAGCACAATAAGTAACAAAGCAGTAAGATGGAAGATAAAGGAAAGAAAAATCGACCGAAAACAGTAGAAAGCTACAAAAATGTTGAAAATCTTGAATTCGGTATGGCGGTTAAGAGGAAGACAATATGTGGATACATCTGCGCCACTGACATCGGTTCTGAGTTATATCACATAGGGTCCCCCAACCACTAGTTTCTGTTGTTACGTGGACCCCCAGTCGGCTAGTCTACATTTCTCACCATGGCTAAAACCAACAATCAAGGACTTCATGCAGTGATATTATGTTTTGATCTGGTCACCCTGAGCCTTCATCCACCCTAAACATACTTCAGCTGACATTGCATGACGAGGCAGACGGTGACCACACATATGTAACACATGTCCAAATCATCTCAGTCGATGAATGTTCACAACCACATCAACTGACTTTACTCTCTTCCCTAAAACTCTGCACCGAACTTCAGTGTTACTCACGTTACTCACGGAATATGCCACGAAGGAAACGAAAGTCCAATACCAGAAGCCTTCTCAAGACCTCTAGCTTTAATGGTCATGTTTCTCAGCCATACAGAAGAATAGAGTGGACTGCAGCACGATACACTCGACCCTTGACAGGTAATCAGATGTCGTGGCGGCACCAGAGATGGCATATGTTGGCAAAAGTTAAGCGAACCTTTCCTATTCCTGTAGAGACTTCATTGGCCACTGGCACACTAAGACTGATCCGACTTCCCAGGTAGATGAAATGTTTAATGCACTTGACCACTCCACTCCCCAGTGTTACACAAAGCACCACTGAAGACCAGTCCTGGAGCAACAATTTTCATTTGGTTGGCAAGTAACGCATCCTAAACATCCTCAAATTTCCACTCAATATGTCCAGAACATTCTGCATCTTATCAGAGTCCTCACCTAATGGGACTGACTATGTCATCTGCGTACTCTAGATCTACAAAGGACTCTTCTGTGCTTGAACCAATCCCTGTGAAGTCGAATGAAGACAGGGGGACCTTCATAAGTACGTCTATGACAACACTGAACGGGAATGGACAGTGGGCGCCCTTGATAGACACCACTCGATGTACACGGTTTCCCTAACAACTCACCATAAGCTTTAACACCCCCATGGGTTTTAGAGTAAAGGAAACCCGAAAGAGTGATGTAATTACTCGGCACTCCTTTCAGTGGGAGACACTGGGACAGGAACTCTCAATCGACAAGGTTGTGTGCTACCTTCAGGTCGAGAAACACAACTACTGTCGGGCATCGATAGGTGTACCTATTTCCCAGAACCTGGCGAAGTGTGAATACTCTTTCAATACACTCACAGCCAGGTTTGAAGCCTGCCTGGTTTTCTCCAGCTTGCAGCTCCCTATAGTCATCTGATGAGCACAGAACCTAGAATCTTAAATACTATATTCGTCAGACTGATTCCTCAGTGGTTATAACAGGAAGACATCTCGCCTTTCTTGAAGATTGAGACCAGTCAGAGGGGATCATATTTGACTCCCGTACACCAGTTAACTCTTTACTTAACTTGCCTAAAAATCTTTGACCACCGTCCTTAAATACCTGTGGTGTTAGTCCATCTGATCCTGTTGCTCTCCCTCTTTCCACGTTACCTACCGCTTTCTCAACTTCTACAAGTGTTAAGGGTGCTATTTCGACGTTCTTTTCAGGTTTCGAATGGACAATACGCAACGAAATAATAGCTAGAGGTCAGTTGAACTCTTGCTTGAAGTGTTCTGCTCATCGCTTCAGTCGTCTCTTCTGAGAGTGAATCGCAGATAAAAAATACTTCTCTATCGTCTCACTAACAATTGACCTATAGGGTTCAGTTTCCTGAATAAGTCCAAGTAACTATCTACCGTTACCTATCCTCGCCGCCTTTCCTTCGCTGCACATAACTGTTAGCGGTCGGTGAGTAGAGTTTTCGTTAGTCTATATTTCTGCTACATTCGCTCTGCATTGTACTCGAAGCCCACAGGGATGCGTTCGTGTTCATTCATTAATTCAGAAGAAGCTGATGATATCTACCGAACCACTCTGTGACAGGCGGCTACGGTCTCCAACGATTATTTTACAGCAGACTAGAAACGGCGCCAAGCTTCTTCCGAGTCAGTGATACTATTCCATAACGAAAGATATCGAGCAAATTTCCTACTGAAAGCAGCCTTAGTCCTTTCATTGTCGAGCTGTACTTGCAATGATATTGTTGCTAAAAGTTTCCTACGTCCATAAACACGCTAGAACCAACGTGTGATTGCTGTTCAAAAATTTCCTCCAGGAGGAGCGGTAATCTTTGACCAACTCTCACCAGCGATGGATGATAGCTAGCAATGTGATCTATCTGAGTCTACTGTTCAGTTGAGGTCGATGGACACCGAGTGAGTCAGTGTCTGCTTTATATCTGAAGATCATGGTGACTAGAAATAGATGATTATCTGAGTATAGTTGTAGCTGGTGGTCGCCGTTATCTGTCTTTCGGGTGGGACTCAGAAAGTGAGATGCATAAGTGCTTTTCCGTCTGACTTAACCCACCCAATCATGCATTGAAATACCATGCTACGACTACCATGTCTGAGCGCTTGGCTTTCAGTAAGAGACTAGACAGTTTTCGGTAGAACTCATCTTTCACTTCATCCGGACTGCAGTCAGTGGGTGCGTAAGGAGAGTTTTTAAAGAGACAATGGCGAGTTTCACTATTCCTTTTTGTCCTCATTGTGCTGTACAGGCGACTGTCAACTGGGGTTCAGTCGAGCGGAGAACCTTTCACTTTGACGATCAATGAGATATCTGCACCTGCAAGACAACGACGACTGGTCACTGAATTTCGCGGATTCAACATATTGACCGAGTGAGGTTAACTGAATAAACGCACTTGCGTCCTGCATGCGTGGTCTCATAAGCACAGCACACATCCATGGCCCGAGATGTCAAAGTTTTTTCTCAAGTATTTTGGAGCTTGGTTTCAGGAGATCAGGGGTGATGTATTAAGAAAAGGACTATTCCATGACCACAGAGTTTAAGTGATATCTGTTTGGGGCCGGTCATAAGCAGTCTTTCTGGAAGTTTGAGGTTTTAGTTCGCTTTTATTGAATCCGACGACTACGTTCCCATGTCGCCATGACGGTATGTTGTGGGGTAGATGGCATCATGCCATTTTTAGGGCCTACCTTTTCTAGCCTCCCTTCCTATGGGGAAGGCAGTACCAGCATGGCACCGCTGGTCATCCGCGAGGAACACCTTACTGATGTCACACCGCCCCACCCAGTCAGCAGTAAGATTTCGTCCTCGGACCCCATAATAGTGTAGTGATTTACACTTTAGTAGTAACTGCTTTTTGACAACCACTGTCCAACGGACCTTTCAGGTATGGTAGGACCTTGACGGAACAAGCGTTCCACTAGTATTGTGATGTACAAGCTTGGCCACCACATCAAGGTACCACCTTTCGGTCGGGCAGTTAGCCTGTCGAACGATAACGGGCTATACGACCCTGATCAACATTTTAGTCAAGCTGATTACAAGATCCTTCCGTTTTCCTACTGACTGGAATTATCGATTATATAAACCAGCCTAACTGAACTACCTCTGATTCTCATAGGTGAGCTAATACTTGATTTATTTCAAGCAGCTATTACTGAACAACTGTGTGTAAATACAACTATTTCTTTTTTCGAAAAACTGAAAATATCATATATTCAGTTACATTCGATCAATCATTTTGGAAAAATTACCAATCTTATTCCACACAGGAGACCAGTGAATTGTTAGGTGGCAAAGTTTACTGTCTGAACACATATATATAAACATTTGGTTCGATCATCAACAGTCTGGACCTCTTGCTAGTAGCTGGAGTGAGTTCTAAATACCTGAAGGAATAGGCTTTTGTGCAATAGTCAGTGCTTAGTATCGAATCGTATCGCAACATTCTGTACCAGAAAGAACCATCTCAAATTCAGTAAGAGTTTGGGGATATACTTGTATTTGATATATGAGACCAAGTGGTGCGGGATAGAAACATGACTGTAGGCCAACTGAACCGTATCTCGGAGGGGTTCTATACAAAGTCTGAGTAGCTCATTCTGAAGGGTTATCGAGGACACACCTTTCAAGATGATAGTTTGACTTATCATGGTCTTTCACTTGCCAGTTTCTTGGATAATCCTAAACAACTGTTGAGTATTTCCTTGCGCCATTTTAACCTGGTTTCCTCTTCCCAGGTGGCACTGCTCACAGTCATCACGAAAACTTTTAGCCACCTTACGTCCAAGCTACTTTCGCTTCTTAACGAGCCAGACGAAATAACTCTTTTCGAGGAAGATGGAGAGATCCGATGTTTGCACCACTATTTTTACACCAGACTACATCAAA